AACAACTAGTAAATCAGTTCTTTCAGATTTTAAAAACAAAGTTTTATCTACTTTACCTCTTTTAAAATCATTTTGAAGAAGGAACTTAGAGAGCCTTTCATACCAAGCTCTAGGTGCTTGTTTCAGCCCATAAAGAGCTTTATCAAGCTTAAAGACATGATTAGGAAATTGGGGATTTTCAAAACCTGGAGGTTGTTCCACGAACACCTCCTCTTCAAGAAAGCCATTTTTAGAAAGCACACTTAACATCCATTTGATATAGTTTGAAACCCATAAAAGAGGCAAACGCAATTAACATTCTAATAGCTTCTAATCTAGCAACAGGAGCAAAAGTTTCTTCAAAGTCAATACCTTCTTGCTGATTATAGCCTTTCACAACAAGTCTTGCTTTGTTTCTTACAATTGTTCCATATTCATCCAGCTTATTCCTGAATACCCACTTGAGCCCTATAACCTTTTTGTGTTTAGGTTTCTCTTAAAGATGCCAAACTAATTCCTCTCAAACTCATTGAGTTCATCTTGCATGGCAACTATCCAGTCAGCATCCCTTAGAGCTTCTTCATGATTTCTTGGCTCAATAATGGATAGGAAGGCTTGAAAGGCACAGAAGTTACTCATTTGTGATCTGGTCTGAGTTCCTCTACCAATATCACTTATAATAAGGTCTGTTGGATGAGACCCTTGATATTTGAATGGCTTTGGTTGAAACTCTCTGGCAGGAACTCCTATTTGAGGCACTTCTTCTACATTTTCCTCGTTGCCAGATTCTCCATGATCTTGTTCCTCCGGGGTTTCTTGATTTGGAACTTCAGCATTTTCTTGATGTTCTTGCTCAGGTTCCTCACTTACTTCCTTGGTTTGCTTGGAGGTTTCTTCCTCTTCTTCCCTGTCTCTAATCATACCAATTTCATAATCAATATTGTCTTGTTCCTGCACATTCATAAACATATTAGATTCATCAAATATCACATGAATGCTTTCCTCTACGCACAATGTATTTTTATTGTAAACTCTGTAAGCTTTGCTATTTGATGCATAGCCAAGGAACACCGCTTCATCACTTTCTTTCGTCAAATTTTCCTATGTTCCTTTTTCCATTATTATGAACAAAGCACCTGCATCCAAAAGCTCGAAAGTGAGAAATATTGGGTTTTCTGCCCTTAAACAGTTCATAAGGAGTCTTATTGATGATTGGTCTCATCATACTCTGTTAATGATATAACATGCAGTATTGATAGCTTCAGCCCAGAAGTTCCTTGGAAGACCACTTGCTATGAGCATAGTTCTTGCCATGTCTTCTAGAGTCATGTTCTTCCTTTCAACAACTCCGTTCTGTTGAGGAGTTCTTGGGGCTGAAAAGTTATGATCCATGCCATTTTCTTTGCAAAAGTCATCGAATCTTGAATTCTCAAACTCAGTTCCATGATCTGATCGAATGTGGATAATTTGATTTCCACTTGTCTTTTGTGCTCTTTTGGCAAAGGACACAAATTCATCAAAAGTTTCATCTTTGCTAGACAGAAAAATCACCCAAGTAAATCTAGAAAAATCATCAATAATAACTAACATATTTCTTTCCACTTCTACTTTGAACACGCATGGGACCACACAAATCCATATGGATTAGCTCCAATGGCTTTGTAGTGCTGACCATGTTTTTGCTTTTAAAAGAAGACCTGACTTGCTTGCCTCTCACACATGCATCACAGATATGTTGTATGAGAAACTTGACTGGGGGAAGCCCTGTAACCAAGTTCCTTGTTCTAAGTTTATCCATGAGTGAGAAGCTAGCATGTCCAAAACGTTTATGCCATAATAAAGGATCATCATTAATGACACTCAAGCAGGTAAGGTTGTTCCTTGGAACAAAATTTAGATCTACAATGTATGTGTTCCCTTTTCTAGTTCCTTCAAGAACAACCCTTCCTGTTTTATCATTTATGATGTTGCATGAATCAGAGGTAAAACTTACAGAGTTTCCTTTATCACAAAATTGTGATATGCTCAGAAGATTGTGCATCAAAACCCTCGACCAAAAGTACATTTTCTATTGAATGAGAACTGGACCTTCCTACTTTTCCTTTAGCAATTACTTCACCCTTTTTGTTGTCTCCAAAGGTCACAGTTCCTCCTGGATAGGCCTCTAGTGAGAGAAACTTTGATTTATCTCCTGTCATATGCTTTGAACAACCACTGTCGAGGTACCACGTGTTGTTCCCCCTCACTAGGACCTGCAAAAGAACTTATTGGTTAGATTCAGGAACCCGGGTTTCCTTGGGTTCCTTGGATGTTGAAGCAATATCAGATTTCTTTACCCAAACTTGCCTAACATTCTTGCTAACAGACTGTTCCTTCTTGTTGCAAGTAGCAACAAGATGACCAGTCTTACCACAGAAGGTACATACTTTATAACTAGGCAGGTCTACATATTTTTTCTTGCCCTTATGCTTAGACCGTATGAATCCTAGACCTTCAGTTCTTTTGGTTTGAGCATTTTCAATCCACTTAGGAATTCCAAACTGACTAATGCTTCTTTCTTTTCGAAGCTCCAGTTCCTTCTCCAAATTTGCCTTTTCAATTCTTAACTCGTCAAGATTATGTTTTAATTTTTTCAAAATCCTCATTAAATTTAGGCAGAGATTCGGAGGAGGAACTTGGAGACACTTCTGCACTAGCAAGTTTGTATTGAGTCAGTTCTACATTAACCATGATATTTTCAAACTTGAGTTTCTCATTCATTTCTTTTAAGAGAAGATTCTTGTCAAAAAGTTCAAAAAATCTACTCTGAACATCAGTTCGTTGATTTTCAATCCACGTATTGTGTTCCTTGCATACTTTGAGAGCTCTTTGACATTCACCTAGACGAATACTAGTATGAGTCCAGTCATCTTCCAATTCAAATACTAAATCAATGAGAGCATCTTTAGTATAAGTCTTAAGCACATTAGGATCAAGGAATACCTCTTTAGCAAGCTCATCATTGTAAGCCTTTTCATCACGTTTGGCCATCAAACACAAATGAGCTGCTTCTTCTTCAGGTTGTTCCTCTTCATCCTCACTTTCAGAATCTCCCCATGCAGCAATCATAGCCTTCCTAATGTCTGTTTTGTTGAAAGGAGTTTTGTTGTAGTTGCTCTTACTTTGTTCCTTTGCCTCCCCTTTTCCTTTCTCTGTATCCCAAAGTGGACACTCACGAATAAAGTTCTAGAGATCCACATTTGTGACAACCAGAGTCAGCTTTTGAAGTAGAAGGTTTCTTGGTGAAGTTCCTTGACTTGTTGTTTCGGTTGAACATTCTTTTGAACCTTCTCACCAGCATAGCAGCCTCTTTCTTCATCGACTTCAGATTCTTCTTGATCTCCAGCTTTGAGAGCCAAACCTTTTCCTCGGTTTCCTTCACTGTTGCTTGTTCCTAGGTGCAACTCATGAGTCATGAGGGAACCAGCAAGTTGCTCAATATTGAACTTTGTGAAGTCCTTTGTTTCTTGTAAGGCTGTTACCTTGGCTCTCCATCTCTCATCTTGAGGAGGCTTCTTAAGACTTTTCTGACCTGCTCATCAATAAGGATTTGCTTTCTAAGAGAAACAAGCTCATTAATGATTTAGTAAATCTAGTTAACATTTCCTGAATTGATTATTTTGGTTGCATTTCAAACCGTTCATATTTTGACATAAGCAAGTCAATTTTAGAGCGTTTTACTTCGTTAGTTCCTTCATGGGTAACTTGAAGTAAATCCCAAATTTCTTTAGCATTTTTACAACCCATAACACGATTGTGTTCATGGGGTCCAAGACCACAATGAAGTAATTTAACAGCAAGTGCATTAATTTCCATTTTCTCAAAATCTTCCTTATCAAATTCAGACATGGGTTTAGGTACTACCTCATTTTCATTAGTAGTTTTGGTAATTTCAAAATCACCAACTTCGATCACTCTCCAAACCTGGTAGTTGTCGGCTTTGATAAAAATCTTCATCCTGTTCTTCCAATAGGTGTAGAATTTCCCATTGAACATAGGAGGACGCTGCGTAGAGTAACCTTCTTCCAGTTTTCTCGTGATTGTTCATCTTGATTCCAGGAACTTGACTCGTCAGGGTTTCCTGATTTCCTCGAGGAACCGGCTCTGATACCAATGTGTTGACTCGAATGAACAATACAAGAGGGGGGGTGAATTGTATTGTGGAGGAACTAGGGTAATTTTTGCGAATTCTTAAATAAACTTAAACAAAAACTTTAAAGTGCAAGAGAGATTTTACGTGGAAAACTTCTTGGCCCTAATCAAGAAGAAAAACCACGACCACAAGGGATTTTAAACTCAACTCTTAATAATAATAGGGCAAACAACCTATTACAAATTAAGACTCTAAACTCAAGTTCCTCAACGAACTTAAGTTCCCCCTCAACTGATCCCTCAATCAGTTGAGCACTCTAATCTCTCTCTTTCTCCTTGCTTCACTCAAAGCAACTCAAACACTCTAGAGTTTACCCAAACTCTACCCCAATACAACTCAAGATTAACACTACTAAGATGCTAAGTACAAAGACACTCAAGGACTTAAGTGGATTTTTGACTCTTTTAGAAAAGCTAAGTATTGTAATGCTCAAGTCTCATTTTTTTTCAAAACAGAAAAATAATCCTATTTTTACAAGAGGAAAGCGGTTGAAACTTTTACGTTTGCTTCCAACTCCCACTATACCACAACTTCCATTAATTTAGGAAGTGCAGTTCGTGGAGGCTTGGGCAGCAAGCTAAATCACACAATAAGGAAGTGGTTCCTTTATTTTCTCAACCTCCTTGACTCAGTAAAAAGACGTTTACAAAACTAGTTTTACCAAGTCAGATTTTCCAAAATATTAGGATAAAATCAAAACAGAAAATCTTTAAAAATAAATAAGATAGTTTTTTTCTTTAAAATATAGATAAGATCAAAACAGAAAATCTTTAAAATAAATAAGATAGTTTTTCTTTAAAAGATAATTTTCCAAAAATAAAATAGAATCTTTTTAAACATAGGAAAATAAAATCTTTATAAACTGAAATTAAATCCACTTAAAATCCTATCAATTAACAATGTACTTAGCAAATATACAAGAAGCCTAAAATAAACAATAAAGATACAATAGACTTCTTGGAACTCAGTGAAGCTTCGACTCTGGAGCTTCAGTTCCTCACTCAAGGAACTTTATTTCTGAGTGTCTTCTATGCTCGTCCATAGCTCAATCTTTAGACTTGTTCTATGCTCCATTCTGACTCTAGAACTTCGTTGCCAATAAGAACCTGTCAAATACATCAAAGCTAATAGACAAAGATTAAAACCCTTATGGGTTTGCTTAGGTTCCTTGAGTCATCATCAAAACTTAAGATCAACACAATGCTTATTTACTAAATTTGGCAGCATGCTTATATAAGTTTATATGGGGTGTCAGTTGTCGACTGTCCAAAACAAATGTCAATTTTCACATATTATGGAGTATATATTACGCAGTATTAGACAAAAGGGCATAGAAGCACACGTTTTTTTTAATTTTTTTTTTATTTATTACTACGTATTATAAAGGTAAGAAAAATAACGGGCCACGTCATATGCATGCACTTTCGCTATCTTCTTTTAACAATACTCGTAGTATTATACACATTTCCTTTGATTCTTGTTACAATTTTTTGTTAAAATTCCGAGTTAGAAAATTCAATTATAATTCTTGTTTGTTTTCAGAATATTTGTAAATTAAATATTGTTACGATTTTTTGTTAAAATTTAAGTTGGTTAAATTTCTTTATATTGTGACCCCAAAATAATTATTGTAAATTTGTAATTGTAGGATTGTATTATTTTTAATAAATTTTAATCATATTGAGCATTCAAAAACTTATAATCTTATCTTATGCATTATCAAATTGTCTTTTGACAAGTATTAATTAATAAAATGAAATTATTTTTACCAATTCAGTAATATTTTACCAGATATCGGTGGTAGTGATCAGTCGCAACATCTCCATTGCTCTTGTCTAATATCCCTCCTGTGTGACAAAAAAAAAAATGCAACATTTAGGAGAAAATCTTTTGGGTTTTTCTATATTATAACCCTCTAATTTTCCGTTTTCTACGATGTGCCCCTTTTTTTTTGAGAAATCTACATTGTAACCTCAAAATACATTTAGTTTCTATACGGTAACCTTGCCTTTATATTGCCGTTAACAAATTCCGTTAGTGGGGCCCACTCATCACTTTATAATATTTTTTTATCGATTTGCGTGTTGAAAATGGTTCCGTTTAAGGTTTTGGTGGCTATTTTGGTCCTAAAGGATCCATATTGAGCTCAGATTTAGCAAAAAAATAACACAAATGCCTCGTATTGCATATTAAGTAATGTCTCGAAATACGTGTTTATGTATTTAATACGCAAAACGAGACATTTGCGTCATTTTTTTTCAAATTTGAGCTCAATTTGGATCCTTAAGGGCCAAAATAGCCCACAAAACCTTAAAAGAAACCATTTCCAACACGCAAATCGATAAAAAAATATTATAAAGTGATGAGTGGGCCCCACTAACGGAATTTATTAACGGCAATATAACGGCAAGGTTACCGTATAGAAGCTAAATGTATTTTGAGGTTACAATGTAGATTTCTCAAAAAGAGGGGGCACATCGTAGAAAACGGAAAGTTAGAGGGTTATAATGTAGAAAAGCCCAAATCTTTTTGTAAAACAAAAAAACAAGAGTAGGTTTGATAGTAGAATTGTAAGAAACATCTAATTACCCTCGAATTTACTACCTGTACCAATAACTTATTTCAAATGTCCTTATCGATCATTTTACACACGCTTTTACAAAACGCTAAAACAATTAATGAGTAACTCAAACAAACGAATACAGCCTTTGTTTGCATTGACATGAAATTTCCAAATATTAATGTCAAAGCATCAAATAATTTATACCAGCTCATTTTCCATATTCCATGTTACGAGTCCAATCAATATATCTGTATATGTCGCTCTATTAACAAAAAAATGTAACATATCATCAAATTATATTTCTTGTCACAAATTATGTTTCAGTTTGTTAAGGGCACCACCAAATAAAGTGATGAAACTAGATTGTTCGGCAATTAGGTACATGATCAAACTCCATGTAGTACGTATAATATGTTTATAATACATGGTAATTTTACTCAAAATATCATATATAGCTATACTTTAATACATATTTTATTGTCTCTTACACAAAATATCTCGTACTTTCTCTGTCCTTTTATATTATTTTTTATTTTTTTATTTTTTTTTGCCACCATTTGCCCTTAAAAGTGAATTTATACCGAAAAAAAAGGAAGTATAATTTCTTTTAGACAAAGTTATATGATGATGGATTAAGACTCTTGTTGAATTATGGGCCTATGGGGGCCCAACCAGGGTCCCATGATGTATTATGCGAGCATAAAAAATAAAATATAAAAAAAAAAAGAAAAGAAAAATCCAAATATATTTTTCATTTTCATCATCAACAATTCACAAGTCTTAAAAGTGTAAAAAGTTGGGAAAATTCCTTTTGAAACCCTTTATTATTTTTTTTTTATTATTCACTTGCAAGGTGTAAGCCTCTAAGGTGCACCAAAAGACAATTTTGCTTCATTTAATAATTTGTTTACTCATTTCAAAAATTAAAATGAGCAAAAAAAAATTTCGATGCACCTACATCTATGTGTATCTGGGTGTATATAAGAGGTTTTAATCTCAAGCATTTGTATGAAGTACCAAGTCTGACTTAATTTAGTAGAAATAATGTCGTTTGTTGTGCAACTCACATCTTTTACCCTTTCCCCGGCTTCTAATGACAGACCTAACCTGTTAAATTGGTTAGGTTGATCTGTGAGAGGTTTAAGTTCGAGAAGACCCTTTTCTTTACCTACTAAAAAAACTAAAAAAAGTAGTTCGTTTATGAATAATAGAATACGGTATTAACCTGACTTATGAGTGAAAGTATCCCAATTGTTGAGCCCTTTACCATCAAACTAAGTAGGCACCTTCATACTGAAATTGAAGAAGGAAAAAAAAACATTATATTTAGCTTGAAAACAAGGTGATTTATTATAGTCATGCATCAAAAAGGGCATGCATGCTAATAATAATTATTACATGAATTTTAATAAATAAAAAAAAACATAATTAAATAAATTCTATTAAAAAAATAAAAAAAAAAAGTTTTGAGGAATGAGGGAGTTAAAACCTGATATGCAGAAGAAGCAGTACCAAAGAGAAAGTTTGAAGGAAGTGTAAATAAAGAAGAAGATCCACCATTATTATTATTTTCACTCTTTGAAAGATTGTGATAATAAGCAAAGTTATAATTAGGAAAAATAAATATAATTAAGAGGATTATAGTTGTTGTAATTGGTAGTTTGTTAGACAACATTTTGGAGTGCGTTTTGGTTATTGAGCAACTAACGCACCTTGTTTTGGGCTTTTATAAAGGGGAAAGGAAACATTTGTGGTGTTGGACGGTGGGACAAATGTAACTGCTGCTCTACTCCTCGTCACCACTCACTTGTAATATTTTACGTATTTCCGAATTTAGTAGCATTTTTTTTTAATCACAAATTCTTATATGCGGCTCGTTACATAGTGTGACCATTTATATATAAGATGCATGACTTTAAAGAAGTGAAAATAATAAGAGTGATGTCAGTACCTACTCCACCACCCCAACCTCGTTTCTGATCAGTCCACAATTATATATATATATTGGTGTTTAGAGAGCCATAAAGGTGGGGGTGAGAATCGATCCCACGACCTCCTAGAATCGGGAGGAAAGCTCATAACCTAGTTATCCCTCACTTTCGTTACAACTTTTACATACGGTATATACAACTTCTAGGAAGGTTGTTGGTAAACCAAACAAAAATGATCCGTGAAAGGAACTTGTTGAATGCATGTAGTAAGTAAACTAATTACCAAAGAAGTTGGTTATCCAAAAAAAAAAGTAACAAGTTTTATTTCCTTATCAACGTTTTGCTAAACAAAAGTAGTAACAAGTATTTGTATGAGATTGTCTCACATAATTATTTTTATGATTTATGACAAATTGACAAGATATTCGTTATCATTGTAGATATTTCATCGTCATAAAGCTATAATTCTCCATAATGTCTACAAAAATACTACAGTATCAAATATTCTACCGAAATTCTGCTTTATAGTTATATTGTAATTCTCTGGTTTTGCATTTTTTACGTTGTGCCCCCTCTTTTTGAAAATTACATATTGTAACCCGTAATCATATAGTGACCTTGTCGTTAACGATATTCTGTAATATTGATTCAATCACCGTTTATGGGGCCTATCCTCCCCTTATTAATACGGAGTATTTTTTATCCATTTGCGTGCTGGAATATCAACTGTTAAAGGTTTCGGGGGGTCATTTCAGTTCTAATGGAACCAAAAAATTAAGCTCATAAGCAAAAAAAATAGCATAAATGCCTCGTTTTGCATATTTAAGAGATGTCTCGATTTACGAATCATTATTCTTTTAGCATTGAAAATTGTTCAGGTAAGGCAGCGGAGTATGTTTTTATAGTTCCAAATGAAGTTCCAAAGTAGCAAAAAAAAAAACGTAAAGTCCCATTTGACGTGTTAAGAAACGCAATTAACACGTAAACCGAGACAATTTTTTTTATTTTTTTATTTTTATTTTTTTTTTGCCAATTTTATGCTCAATTTAATTCATTAAGAATTAAAATGACCTATATAAAGTAAAATGTTGGTGACCAAATTAAACTAAATCAACCAAAAAACTCATGCATAGGTTTTATGTTCTATTGTACCATATTCGCCACCATTCTCTTTCGCTCCTTCTTTTCTCACTTTTTTCATGGCAGGCTACAAAATTTATGAGAGCTTGTTATATATACCCGGGTATACGATACACCCACTACATCCAAAGATATTTGTTTGCTCATTTGATGATAAAATGAGTCATAATCATTGAAATGAGCAAATAATACCCTTAGGTGCACCGTACACCCGGGTGTATATCACAATTTCTAAAAATTTATCACCCCACAGTCCCACACCATCGACACCAATATTTTTCTTTTCTTAAAAATTATATGGATTTTTTTTTGACAGCGGGAAAAAGGAGACTAGCTCCCAACAGACTCAACGCAAGAATTAAAACTACAGACAGACTTAGACCTCTTCGCAGAGTTAGTAAAACCATGATACATCCAAGACATAGGGGGACTACTAACATGATTATCTAAGGGGGGGATACAATGAGGTTGACTAATTCCGGTATGGATGTTAGGCATGAGAAGCTCAAGGTTTGATCCTTTACGTTTTTCTTGTCTTGCAAACCTGGTTCCTATGATGAGAGACAACTGGCTTCTTCCTCTTCCTTTTTCTTTTTTCCACATGCAACCTACCCAATCTTCTATTATTCAACTTGTTAGAGCTAAAAATGAAGGTGATGGGGGTAGGGATGAGCGGATCCTCCAGATCCCCTTCTAAACCCATGGGGTCATCCTTATTAGATCCTATCGACTCCACTTCAGCTTGATCAGGAACGTGGAAGTCGTTTGTAGGCGTTTCGTTGCCTTTCTCGATGCATGTGGATGCAATGCTGAATTAAAAGCATATACGAGTACTCCTTTATTAACTTTTCTTTTTGTAAATAGGAAAGTTGTGATTCGTTAAGGTATATAATTAACCATACGTGCATGGTGCATGATCCGTCTATTTCTCTGGCCATGTTTGGAAAATGGCTTTTTGGTTAGCTTTTGGCTTTTTTATGAAGTCAAACAGCCAAAAAATGTGTTTGGTAATTGGCTTTTTAGCCAGTGAAAAAGCTGGCTTTTAAGCCAAAATGAAAAAGCTGCTTTGAGTAGCTTTTTTGTTGGCTTTTGGCTTGTTGGCCCACAAATTATCTAATAAACAGCCAACTACCAACTATTAATTTACCAAACACTTTTATAAACAGCCAGCTTTAACAACCAATTTCAAAAGCCATTATAAACAGCCAAGCATACCAGCTGGTCAAACAAGCCAAGTGAACCAGCCAACAGCCAACCGCCAACATCCACTTGCCAAACAAGGCCTCTATCTATTGCATTTTTCAAACTTTCTTTTTTGCAAGCTAAGGTGCACTTGTTTTGGTATTATTTGCCCCTTTCTAGGGTTGAATACATTTTAAGAGTTAAATGGAGAGAAAAAAGATAGAGATGCATGTGATTTGGAAAGAGATAGAAAAAATTGACAACTTAAAAGAAAATAAAAACAAATGTTATACATAATGTGAAATATTCAATTTTGGCAAATATAGTATTGCAAACAATGTAAAACAGAGGTTGTAAAATACATTTCCCAACAAGATTATAATTTCTCAGTTAACTAAAAAAAAACCTTATGCAAAGAGAATGGTTTTCTTTGATTCATTACTTCAAACACTTGATTATTCAGTTGTACATTTTTTTTTGTTAGTTTATTTGAAATATGTTTGGTAAAAAGTAGTTATTGTCCTTGTTGAATTGGCTATCCGCCATAGCTATGTTAATGTGTTAGAGATATGAGATATGTATGCATGCCGAGCACCCAAGTAAGAGACAAATTTCCTTTAAGTGATAATAGAGCTTCTCGAATTTTTGAGAAAATACATTATGATTTGTGGGGTTCAGATCATATAGACATGTGTCGTCTCGTAGAGCTTGTTATTTTTTTGACAACAATTGGTGATTATTCAAGAGTCGTTTGGATTATTTGTTGGTTGAACGTTCATGCTCTATTTAACTCTTACACTGTAAACATTGCTTTTAAGGACATATGTTATTAAGTTTAAGGAAAAATTGTCCAGAATCAATCAAACCTTTTACAGGTAGACCAAGAATAATTTGTTTTTTTTTACTACCCTTCAATAATCTATTCTTTTATTTTAGTTTTTATATATGTTCATTGGTTTTTATTGATGTTCATTAGATTCACAGTTATGTGCATCATATTTATGCCTGTACCATTCAATTACTACTTATGTATTGATTACCCCGATCACTTAAGAATATTGGCATATTGCTTGGGAAGTTACATCATAATTATCAATTTGATGTATAAGTTCAACAATAATTATGGGTTGTTATGATACTGTTTGCTTTTTTTTAGCCATTGTGAATTAGAATAGGCATGAAAATAAAGCAATTAATAAAGGGTGTTGCTTATGATTGATTGATTGAAATTAAACTTAAACGCAAACGAAAATTGCACGATGATCATGATGATAAAGTGTGAAATGGTATCTACTTAGCTTATATATTTGTGGTTATGAAATTTTTGGCCCCCATGCCTTAAATTAAAAAGGTTAGTCTCTTAGAAAAGAACTATTATACTGTTGAGTTTGTATTCTTATCCTTTTGGTGTGATGCTTTCAACCTATGACATTTTCTCATACAATCAAATGCTTTAATAGTGCATCGGTTAAATTTCATTTGCTAACTATATTTGCTACAATTTCAATGCATACTTGACTTAAGCAGTCATAGAGCGAAATATAGACACGCGTTTTACTTGTATCGAATTATAAAAATAACTAATAAGGACACTTTAAACGTGAATCAAACACACCCTTATAGGGGTTTTAATTTAGAAGTTGGGATTTTGACATATATTACTTCTTCTGTTCTTAATAATAACACACACTTCTTCACGGTTTTAAGCAAAGTAGGGTTCATATGATTTAATATACTTTAAAATAGGGTGAGAGGTTGTTAGGAGTATAATTCAGTGGGATATGTGCTTAAAATAAGGGAAATTATACAACTTTTTTCCCAAAATAATTTTTCAATTGCAGAATCTTGCAAGTATTGTGACATTCCATTTTAGAAAAGTGTTACAACTATTAAAAAATGGAGAAAGTACGATATTATAAGTGAACGTCAAAAGAATTGAGAGAACACACTCGATCTTGAATTGAAGTTGTGAAAGTTAGAGATGAACCTATAGTTTCCCAACTTCCTATCCTATGATAAC